AACTTGTGCAATGGCAAATATCGATGATCATTGGTGTACGTGTCACAAGGATAAAAAATTGCCTCTCGATAGTAACGAAGCATTACAAGCCTCTACGCATTTGGTACGTCAATTAAACTCTCTACTCCAAAGTCACGTGCAATGTGCGAAGCTAATGCTTGCTGAACTAATAGATGTAACAGAAATGGACGTGGGAACGCCCAGTGAAAATGAAATTGGTTGGCGTGAATTTATGATAACGTTGCGTACAACGCCTGGCAATGGAATATTTGAGGCAACCCTACGTCAAAGTGGCCTAGAGTGGAAGCTGGCTGGTACCATCAGCAGGCTTAATCTCTATGGTGATCAAAGCCGCTGCATACACAACTATCAACTAAAGTTATATTGCTATTGTCGGTAATTCTATTACAAAATCCTCAATTCCAAGTCTGACACAACGTAGTGATTGCAGACGTTAATATCTTTTTTACTTATTCAACATATCAAGAAAGTTTTGATACTCACAAAATCTCGAAATGCAATTAATGTTAAGAGATGTTCTTATTAAAATTAAGTACAAATATCTAGGGGGATTACAATTACCCATAATAGGACAGGACTAATAAATGGGACAAAACGCACTTAAAACACAGCACTCTAAAACGAGACCAAAGGAACTGAAAGGCTCTGATTAAAAGCAAATCTAGAACGGACTTTGTATAAATGTTAAAATTGTACATAATTGATAATATCTACTTTATTTTTCAGTGTTTTGCTGTTTTTTTTATTATATTTCTGCCAACAGACACCCACTTGTATTTTTTTTACCGTTGTGCTTATTCTATGTACTTATTATACCAATTATTATTAGCTTAAAAAAGGTCGACATAACCGACGTCACGAAGCAAATAAAAGATAATTGAAAAAAGAAAACAACTGTTTTCCAAGTTTGTTATATTATGTTGAGTCTTTGATGACTTCGTGGCGCAGTTGCCAAGGTATTCGCTTCGGCGTCAGGAGTCATGGGTTCGATTCCTACACGGGACAACTATTTGTGAGACCCACAGATAGTTGTTTTGCATCTGGGTGTTTGTCTGCGTCAAATTTATGTTTGCAAAACGTCATTACAACACAAGATAATGTTAACCTAAAGTAATGGCAATGTTTTTTTTTTAAAGAAAAGAAAGAGTCAATAAGTGAAAAAAAATATTTTACTTAAGTTTAATTCTCCACTTTTCTGGTACTTTTCCAAAATTCTTTGCAAGTGAATCACCTATAAAAGTCACTGATAAGTGATAATTGCCGACCATGAACACCCATTGCACCAAGGTGTTACTGGTGTGCTACCAGTAACTCACTCCTCGAACACCGCAAAAATATAAGAAATTCTATTTCTGCCTCAGGCAATATACTTCCACGGTGGAAATGGCTCAATGATGTAATTGGTACTAACTGCAGAGAGAGAGAGAGAGAATCTCAGAGAGAGACAGTGTTTTTGTTCTAGGTCGTTATTAAGGAACCATGATGAAATATAGTTCACAAATAGTTGTGGGTACCGAGTACTAAAGTAGTTGCATCTTGTATGGCCGTTACTTCATTGTTTATAATAATTATTACTTATTAATGACTGTATCATTAAAGGTAATTAAATCTACCATAGAAAAAACTGTGCATTTCAAATGAGAGGTCTTTAAAGTATAGTAACAGCCAATACATATCCCACAGATAGGTAAACGCCTCTTCTTTACAGAGAGTATTAATTTGTTATTATATTATTAGATTCCACCACGCGGCCCCACTGCGGATTGGCGGATATTGTCGAATTCACATATATTCGAAACATTTATTTTTATTGTTATTATTTCTAAAATATGCATGATTCCTTATGACGTTTTCCTTCACCGCTGAACCCTTGATAAGTCAGCACTTAAAATTAACAATTTCATTGGTGCCGGCACCGGCGATTGAACTCAGGTTGCTCAAGTATATTGAATTAAAGGCGAGCGCCTGGACACTGGGCTATCACGGCTTAGAAAAGATCCTATTAGTACGGGATTCCAGGCCCATTTTCACCTTTTCATTTTGACGAGACGCCCAACTTTTCCTTACAACAGTTTTGGTAAACGTTGTAACGAAATATGTTGATTTGACGAATTTTAAAAATTGATTACTAACTTAATTTTTCTTCCACTTCAACATGTATAATTAACAAGGTCATGAAAAGTTATTACTAAAGAGCTAATTTTTTTTTCTATTAGCTAGTTAATATTTATATAATTAAAGCCTAGGGCGTAAACTTTGCTTCCAAAGCCTAGTTGAACTTTTTTTTCGATTCCAGATTTTTTTTTCCCCTTTTTGAAGTGAAATATTCTTTTAGAGCAGTACGCATATTTTTAGATGAGATAAAATCTCTGAACTCGCGACATCGTCACGAAATGCAGCTACATGTATAGTATTTGCTTAATTGAATTTTTAAAAAGAGAATTTGATTTTATATCTATGTCTATGTCCAATCAAAGCAATATTAACACAACGAGATATAAAAGTACAATTAATGCAGTATTCACTATATATTTAAATAACTTCGAATCAAAATTGTTTATTTTTACTATTTTATTTATCTAAAAAATGTCCAACGCGCCAAAATAAGTTTTCACTCCTGGTTTCAGGTTACTTCTTTTGTGAGAAAAACCATCTGAGTAAAGCTCGGTTATACAGGTACTTTATGATAATGAGCCTTTACTTATAATTTTATATAGTCGTAATTTTGTTTATGAACCATTTAATTGCTTTTTTTTGCATGAAATGAAAAAAAAGAAAGACGATATTATATACAATTACAAGGTATGACACTAGCGCACCGAAACTGAGCCACTCAAATTAGGCCAAGTCTCGCAATTTTAACCCAATCACTTCCTTCCTCAATAGGGCCTTTTTATTGGAGGAAATCTTCCAAAGATGTCACATGACAGGGTTCGTACCCACTAAAGTCTCTCGGTGGCCACCTTCCTGTACCTTTGGAAGGACTCCGGGATCTTCTACGGAACGCATCAATGTCCCTCGCCGCCGAACGAACGCCGCAAGCCGCTCGAGCACGCCGCGGAGAAGGATGAACCTTCCCTGAACCCTTCACCATCTCGTAACAGCACAAGGGCACATCGTCCTGCTGCTAGTCTACGACCCTAAAGCCTCAAGTCATCTTTTACGACAGGCTTAGAGATGGATTTACTCGGATAGGATTAAGATTCTATGAGCCCGATACTATAGGCTGACAGGGCAGCACGTCCGCTTCTGCTGACCCGACGTCTTCTACTCTGTGTGGGATCAGCCCTGTCCTGATCTCGCTCGGTGATCTCCTTCTAGATTATAGACCATGACATTTTCACAAAAGGACATCAGTGCCATCCAAATTCGTTTCTCGGCAAGCGCAGCTGTCACTGCAACTGGTGGAGAAAAGTCCTCGCCGGACAGAGGCCACACAGAGAACTCGGCATACATACTCTATGTTGCGTGGAGTTTCGTTCCCCTCCACAGTGATGACATTACGTCGTTGATTCGCATCCAATTCTATTTAGTTACTTACCAAAACACCCATGGCTGGTGAGTAGCTGCGTCAGCTGAAAAGTGACGTGCGCATACCCCATCGCACTTAGCCAGGCTTCAAAGCTCGGCAGGAGCGCGCTGAGAACTCACTGACGCAGGTTTTGTGACTTCCAGCCGCTCGTACCAAATCTGCAGTGGTGCACCATAAAGGGACATCGACCGCACGATCTCCGCATAAAAGCAGCGGGCTCCTTCCCATGGGTCCTGATTAGGCCATTGGATTAGAGATTCAATAGACCTCTACTTCTGTTTCTGCAACTGCGTTCAGCACGTTTTATTAAATACGTTTCTGCTTCTGTTTCTGCAACTTTTATTATACAGGGAGGCTTTTCTAAGGGTATCCATTTTTTTTATTAAATTCTAGACATATACATAATGTTATATAAAAAATGATAAATATTTAAAATCACTCACAATTACATTCATTTGAACTTATCTCAAAAAGTGCGTGATTTATAGGCAACTCATTTATTTTACGCGCGATATAACTAAAACGCACACAGGTTCGTTTCAAAAGTATACAACGCCATGCCGGCACGGATCGACTCCGATTTCTCGCGAGCGCTTAGTTTTGTTTGTGGGCGTGCACAGTAAAATTCATCTACCGCATTGTCAACACGTTCTTAGGGAAAAGAATGGCAATTTTTTTGAAAAAAAGTTTGTTTTTATTTCAATAAACGATTATATCACCGAGATAACGAGTCTGAACCTCCTGTGTGAATTTGGGCACCTTTAGAAAAGCCACCTCGTATAAACGGAAGAGAGTAAGGTGAAGCGCGAGTACGGCGTTTTAGGATCTGATTTATAAAGACAATCCCGAAAAGCTTGCTGGGTATAGTAGTAAAACTTAGATTTAAATTAAAAAAAAAAAAAGTTTTTTTTATACTTTGTGAAGCTGTCTCCGCATATTTGTTTTTTGTGAGTCGAATTATCTAAATATGAATAGAATATTCTGGCAGCACTGAAAAGACCTATATTAAAAACTTAAAAAATCCTGTCATTGTCAGTGTCAATTGACAAATTCTGTCAAGTCAAATAAAAATAGTAGTAATATTGTATCGACACTTCGACAGTATTTATGTAAAATGTGGAATTGTAAACGTTAAATTTATATTACAACTAAAGAATTGTTTTTGAAAATGGCTCTCATTTTTAAAGTAATGTGTAGAAATTCAAGATATATTAACTACGTAACTACATCGACAACGAAGTGGTGCTACAAAAGATCAAATCCTATTCGAATTATAGCTAATGGGATTTGTTATCAAAATACCAATGTCCCAAAACCTTTAATCGAAAATAGCCAGCTTAAGCTTTTTACCCCACTACGACCATGTTCTACACAAAGCAGCAATAATGCCGATAAAACTCCTCAAAAAACAGAACCTAAGAAGGGACTTATACAGAAGTTCAAAGAAATGTATAGGGATTATTGGTACGTCGCGTTGCCCGTCCACATGACCACCTCTGCAATATGGTTTGGAAGTTTCTACTATGCAGTAAGAAGGTGAGATCGTAATGTAACAGTAATTACTTGTAATACTAACCTAAACTAGGTAGTTTATTATTTATTTATTAATTACTTATTTAATCCAAACGTGACAATTGTATATGTTATTAATCATAAAAATAGTTATTGAAATTACTCAAATCATTTTCAAAAATTTCATAACCTTCATGATAAATTGGCTCATTAATATAAATTGATGTTTTATCTATTATTAAAAATAATTATTTAAATTGATTACATCATTAAAATCCTAATGGTTATATTGCTTGACAAATATATGATAACTTTTACTAGTGATGTATAGAATATATTTCAAATAATTTTTGGTACAAAAAAATACTTAAATATATATTATGTATCTACTATATTTTATGACATTTATAAACATTATAAATGTCATAAAATATAGTAGTATACATTTTGACTTGTATTCATGTTTTACACAAAATTGGATTATTGATATGTTATGTTTCAGTTCAGCCAAAGATTAAGATTATTGCTATTTAGGTATGACTTTCCATTGATTTTCGTCGAATTAATGCAAGGAAAAAAAAGGAATATTTGAGAAATCTTATTTTAAAACTGTAACATCTCCACGCTGCGGGAACAGCAGCCTTTACGCCCTTGCGTAACAAACCGTAGGTATCTGATGCCTACGGTTTGTCACAGCGGATGGAGGCTGCTCTCCCTACGCACCTCCGGCTCTAAAAAACACGAGGAGTAGGGCAGACTCGTACCAGGTGGAGTTGGGGTCAATCAATTGGGTTTCTTTGACATAAGTTGAACCTAACCTATTTTATTTGAAGACTACAAGGGAAAAACAAGGAATGTCAGTAAAAAGTAATAAAATGAAAAAAAAAAAAATCTGTAATAAAATTATCTACCCCCACCTCGATGGACTTCAATGGAAAAATGAGCCGCTATTTATCTTCTAAGTTGTAAGAAATACTCCTATATTAGAGTTGAGTGACAAGTGAGTGATTTATTCCGATGAAATGCTCACACTCAGTGAATTAATTGAACTTGTTCACTACTGTGATGTATTTTCGTCCTACATCAGATCCGCGTCAGTTTTTAAATACGCCTTTTAAAGTGAAATGTATAATATCATATTTATCACTTTGAAGGTCCTAAACCTGAAAAAATTATGAAGGCAAAATTAATTGAATATCTTAAACAAATGAAAACAGTTCGACGAATAGCCATACAAGTTCCGAATCCGGACTCATAGTAAAACATTGTGATTTTAAATTCCTTACTTCTGATATTGCTCTCTGATTCAAGGAGCAAAATAAACTGATAAACGATTTAGCCGTACAAATTCACTTTCCAGAACGAGATTTGATTAACAAGTTACATAATGTGAATGATATAGTCCTAGTCTATCCGATATTATTCTTACAGTATCTAATCTTTTAATCAGACAACATTTTCCTACATTCTTTTTTTCAGTGGTGTAGATGTTATAAGTTTGTTAGAATATTTTAATGTCAGCGAGAAAATAGTATCACCTCTGAGAGATTCAAGTGCTGGATACTTTGCTCTTGCATTTGCATTATATAAACTGGCAACACCATTAAGATATGCTGTAACTATTGGTAAGAAATGTTTACTTATTAGGGAAGTTTTGCTTATTATATTTTTCAATCAAACTTTATTTTATAACATATTCATATTTTGAAAGGCTAAGTAGTTAAGTGCCTGAGTATTAAAACTCTTTGGATGGACCTAGTTTTTAAAGTTTTTCAACTTTCTTATAAGAGCCCAATATAAGGACATGAACTAGGACTGTTCCATTTGGGACTGAATAAGCGATCTAAAGCATGAATAACTGTCTGCTGACACCCTGTTATAATACAAAGTAGAAGATATGTATGGTGTTATAGTATCTGGACAGTACTACTTCCTGACCATTATCGTTCACGCCGAATTTTTTTGGGACTCAGAATTATTTTGGGATTAATTGTAGACAGCTGTGCTCCATAAACTTTTGACGCCTGTCTGATTTTGTTGAATCTTAAGTGCAGGGCCTGGCACTAAAAATTCATTAATATCACTGTAACTTTTTAGTTGTTCTCGAATAAATTCTGAATTCCTGAATTATTTCATTAAACTAAGTAAATTCACTTTGTTTAATGTGAATTTCTTTTTTGCAGGTGGTACTACATATGCTATTAGAAAACTACAAGTTTTGGGCTGGATTAAACCTGTGCCATCAAGAGAACAAATTAAGGAAATGATTCAGGAAAAAAAAGAGAATTTTCAAGGCCGAATCCATGAAAGCAAACAACATTATCAAATTCAAATAAAAGAAAAAGGGACACAAGTTATGGAAGAAATGAAAAGATATAAGTCAGAAATCCGCAGTATTAAAAGTAAAGTGAAAAAGATGTAAATATTTATTCATTACATAGTTTATTTCAATTCATAATAAAATTTTTGGAACAATTTTATAAAGTGGCTGTTTTAAAGTGAGGTAATAACCATAAAATCATTAAACTGTTGTAATTTTGAATAGTTTATTACTCATAATATAAATATAAATGTAATCCTTAAAAGCTATGTTCATTTTCAGTTTTCCATTGTCATTAATAACATCAAAATTTACAGATATAGAAAGTTGCTAATTACATTAAGTACCTATAAGACAATACAGCACAAAACTGGAATGTTTATTTTTGTATAAGGGAAATTTATTAATGGCATTATAATAGTTACTAATTATTATAGCAATCTGCCAGGAGTGCTGTCTTGTTACATTTTTACAAGTGTCAAAATACTAAATGCATGAAATAAAGAGACTGCAAAGCTCTTCTTTTACTAATAAATTAAATAACAGTAGCGGCCTAGTTGCTGGAACATGTGACTTGTGACCAGTTTGAAGATCTGTGGTATACACTAAGAACTTCGTTTTTTGGATGTATTATTGCATCAATAAACATGCGCCAAATATGTGTAAGTCCGTCAATCCGCAATGGGGTCGCGTGATGGACTATGACCTAATACCCTCTTTATAAAGGAGGCCTTTGCCCAGCAGTGGAACATTTATAGGCTTTGTTACTTGTTAATTTTTTCCATAAAATTAACTGTTTCACAATTTTGGTTAGAGACATTACTTATTTTACAATATTTAGAGAAAGTGTTTGAAAAAACTTATTTCTGGATTTAATGTCAGTGTTGAAAATGAAGATGTAGCTTTCTATTGGTTAATGACTACTCGAAAACATTTGATAAAAAAAGAATATTACTAGGACCATTTTGTTTCTTGACCAGATATGGTAATAGAAGCAATTTTACTTAGTAGTAAATGTTAAATAGAAGAAGTTTACCCAGAATAATTATTCTCTATCAATATCACAAAATGTTATAGGCAATCGTAACTAATAGCCAAAAATCACAATTGTCATGCTCTCTCCGAATCTATTCAAATACCCTTATAAAATAATAAACAAGAAACTTTAAAAATGACCTTTTATGCAACAACTAACATGTTGATCCCTGAAAAATAATTTTTATCAATTAAAATTACATATTATTGTAACAGGTTTTACAAATACTGATCATTGTAGAAGTTAACTAATCAGCTGTCAAATGGGTTTTCAAATGTTGTTTGAGTTGTCAAAAGGATGGTTAAACTGTTTGAATTAATCATTCTGATCATTAAGAAGATCATTCTGCTGATTAGTAAAATAAATGCATAAGAGCATAATTCAGTGCATTTTTAAATTACAGGCCACAATTTTAACAATAAAACTCCTTAGCAAAGTGCAAAAACTTACAACATGAATAAATTTATTCATTAAAGCCACTTTTTTTAAATGTACACAATTTGTTCTTTATACCCATCAAAAAAGATTGTAATATTATTTATTTGTTGAGCACATCTACATACTATTATTTATAATATTAACTTTATACCTACTTAAATAAACAAACAATAAATGCACATAATTCTAAAATCAACCCATATACTTATAAGAAGCTGGGGATAAATGTGGTGCCGGTGGCATGCCAGGACCTGTTGCAGCCCCAATGGTAGCCAGATGACAGGCGCGACACATTAATTTTCCTGAAAATATGAAAATATAACTAAAACATATATTTCAAAGTTACAACTTATAGTGAATAAAATTATTATTATCTATCATAAAGTTCATAAATGAAATAAATGAAAATATAACAGAAACATATATCAAAAATACAACTTATATTACATAAAATTATTATTCTTTATCATAAAGTTCCTAATTTATTTTAATCGCCAGAAAAAAATTGCAGAATGGTTTAAAATTTATTCAAAGTTGCAAAATTGAAAATTCTTTCGTACTTTGATATATCTTTTACCCTAATACCATTGCCTTATTGTTAAAAAGTTTGAACATAAATTAATATGAACTGTGAATAGATAACTATTACATGAGAGCTTGTAATCTTAATGGCTTTAAATGGCTTGCAATAATCACCAACTAGATAATTCATAAAAAGCATTTTACCTGTGACAGATGAAGTAAAAAAATTTTTCCCTTCTGTCACAGTATTGTTTGGGTGGATAAAGCTAGTTAGTATTAAAAATATATAAAATTCTCACCTGCCAAAGGATAACAACGTTTATCTGGTTCATCTGTTAATTGCATTCCACAGACACAACACATGTAGCAGTCAACATGGAAGTCCCTGTCCATAGACACTACACGCACTGTTTCGTCTGTGCCCTCTACTGGTGTAATACCTACAAATAACAACTATTTTATAACAAATAAAATATTTAAACAAATATTGTTTAACCCAACACAAAAGTTCAATACAGAAAGTTGCATAATAAATAATTACAATAACAATTTTAATAAAAATTTTCAATAATATAAAATGGTAATGATGAATCATAATTTTAAAGAGAATTGAAGAAAGTAAAACATATCCTAAAGTATTCTTATCAAAAAGTCAATGTAAAATACTGTTAGATAAACATATTTAGTGTCTTGCCACATTAAACTGTTTTAAATAAATATATACCTTTTCCACAACTGGCACATTTTGGTGCAAACATGCGATGGTAGTCGTTAACACAGTAGATTTTGTTGTCCACATCAACAGTAAAGGGAACACCATCCAAACACTCATTGCATATGCAGCATCGAAAACAACCAGGATGGTAAGATTTGCCCATAGCTTGTAAAATCTGTGTAAAGAAAAAAAAAAAAACTGTGAGTATGAAACAATACCTAATCCAGATGAATATTGAGCATAGAATGACAATTTAGCTCACCATTTCCATGATCAAATGACCGCAGATCGCACACTTTTCAGCTGTTTGTTGAAACCCAGAGTACTATATGGGGAATGTAATATTTACAATATTATGAAATCTGATAAACTATTTTGTAAAAGAATTAATATCCTGTAAAATGTCAACAATAATACAAACCAGATAATCCTCTTCACAATAAACTTTCCCATGAACATTGTAAAATGCTTTGCCTCGTAATGCCCGCCCACAGGAACAACAAATAAAACAGTTGGTATGGTATAAATTACCCATAGCTTGGCATGCTTGACCAGCACCAGTAACTCCACCCCTACATGTGTGACATATGCCTAAACAAAACAACATGAATTATCTCAACCTTCACTTCAAATTATAACATAACATTACAACTGTAGTTAAGACCTTAGTAAGCTGAAAATATAATAAAAATAGCTATAAATTTTTTATAATTGAAAATTACCAAGCATTTTAAATTTATGCTGTAATGAGATTGGCTTAAATTCAAACAATGACTTTTTTTTATTATGCATAAAATTTTATAACTTTATTATAATTAGCATAGTAGATACAACAACCATACCAAAGTACTCTCCATCTTCATCCTGCCTCTCCATTTCTTCTTCAAGCTGTCTTGTAAGTTCTTCAATTTTTCGCTGAGCCTCACTAGGGCCTGGAGGGCGAGGTGGAGTGATGCTGTAAGGTAAAAGGCTTTTCCCCCTTCCACCTGAACCCCTTGAACCAGCTGAAACTTGTGACACAGAACTTGGTGTGGGACTAGGTGCTGGGGATTGTGCTGGTGAACAAAGAGATGTCAAGCCCGATACCAAATTCCTAGATCCTATTGATTCGGAAGCAAGTGAAACATTGTCCCTTGTAGCGGCAGCTACAGCTGCTGCCGAAGAACCTCCAGTCATGCATACATAATCAGAACCATTAGTGTCATCCACAATTTGCATTCTAGTATTTAAAGGTGACTTAACATTGTACCCTTCATTAACTGGCACTGAACTTGCTGACTTGTCTTTTCCAAGCCCATTACCAATATTAGGCTTAGGATGAAAGAATTTTGGGGCAGGAGTTAAAGTTTTAACTTCAGTGGCAATATTCGCTTTAGGTCTTTGTGCACTTGGTGCTATTGATGCATATATAGCTGTTGATGGTATTGTAACCACTTTATCATCAAAGCTGACTGAATTGTCACTCTTTAAAAGAGCACTTACATCTGTATATTTAGGTGGTGCAGATTTCATTATAGTGTAATCACCACTGTGATTATTTTGAGGTTTATTGTAAGGTGGAGGAGGTAGACCTTTTTCAATCTTTGCTTTCTCATTGGGCATATGTAATACAGTTCTATTTAATGATGAGTTTGGTACTTGAGGTCCTGGAATGGATCCCTGTTGCACAAATTGCTGCTCTTGATTCTGTGGCAACTTATAGTCACTTTTTTTATCATTATCTGAACAAAGCATATTCTCATAAACAGATGGTTTTAATTTAGCTTTCGAATTCACTGGCACTTGAGGTTGAGCTTTGCTATACCGAGTGTCGTAATATCCATCGGAAACAGGAAGAGGTGGTCCCTGCTGATAAATCTGATGATAGTAGGGAGGCTGCGGTGAACGTTGTTCGCCGTAATAGTCTATGTTTTCATAAACAGGCGGAGGGTACTGTGAAGTAGTATTTCCAGGTATTTCATATAAATCATCAGTTTGGTAGCTGAGAGACCTTTGCGAAATACTGTCGACTGATCGGGTAGGGCTTGCGGGCAAAGCAGTGGTATTGATGTCTGATTTATTTATTGAAGCAATCGTCTCTACGCGTTTCGGCGTTGCGAATTTAGACGATGCTATCACATTAGATCTTTCATAAAAACTATAATCTTGACGATTAGTTGGGGCGCTGTCCAGCGTTAAGCTCTCGATAGCTCCTACAGGTCTAGTTTTACCAGCGGGACTTGTAGACGAAGTTGAAGCATTGTGCGCTTGCTCAGTATCGTTCTCATTTGTGTTACATATTTTTAAATCTTGCAATCCAAGAATGCATCGTTGGTCGTCGGCGTTGCCTCTTCTTGAAGAATCCATAATAAATAAAATAAATGAACTAATCTAAAATTAATAATTCACAATCACAAACTATAATGAATCATGATTTTGATTTAATGAGATATTAATTCAACAAAACAACAACCGAACGGATGAAAGATTATAAAAACAATAATAGTGATGTCCAATGTCCATTGTCCTTAGCTCTTGCTTCATATCAGAGAACACAACTATATGTACTAATGTAACGTAATCTACAAAAAGGCCTTCTCTAGAGTAATCTTTCTAGGGCCTTAACGCCTTCATTTCTCATGAGTATTAGAATATTCCGTTCCGTAGTATAATTTTAAGCAGACATAAGGAAGTTTTGGAACAGTTTAATGAAGAATCCTATAACAATCTTGAGGTCTCTCTCTGAGTGATTATCTTCTATTTAATAATATTTGGGGACAAGACAATACAGAGCCTATAAACCGATAAAGTCAATTATTGAAAGTAAGTAGTACCTAATTTTAGGGTTTTCTTTAATATCGTGGATTAATACGCACAGTAGCCAATTAAATCCAAAACACGCATAAAATCATTTCACCGGTTAGGTGTATGTTAATAGAAGCCGTGAAGTTAATCGGAGGCCGTGAGGCGCTGCTTAGTAGATTTACTACTTGATACTTGTTTCGTTAACTTCTATGATGATCTCATCACTCATCAGTGTTTCAGAAACCGGGCGATAGTAAGGCAAAAAATTTCGATACATAAAATTATCGATATTTTTTATACAATTATCGATATATATCGTCGACATTTTTTATCGCGATATATCGATATGCTTTTTACTTGTCCGTGCGTGCATACGCGTAGCATGCCAGATTTGGAACGCTAACCGTGGTTTATTTATGGATGTTGAAATTGAAAAAATATATTGATATTTATAAAAATATCAATATCGGCTTCGATATATTGAAGAATCATGATTGAATCATGATATATCGATGTTATATTTTAAGGCCCCGTTGGTAAAAAAAAAAACGCCTATGTCAAGTGTTAAATATTTGAATCTACGGACTTTGTGCGGGATTTAAATAAAAAAAAAATATCGTTTTTGATACGATTTCGTAATTGAATATTTTGTATCGATATATAGGATCAAAATATATCGGCCACAAAATATCGATGGTACAACTATAGCGCACCGGTGACCGGCGCGGGCGCGTCCGCCGTAGTCTGCATAGATAAGACATATATACTGAAAAAATTGATGAAAAAAAAGTGTGACTGCCGCGGAACATATCCTAAAATCTAGGGAGACTGGTGATTGCTCGCTGCTGTGAATGTGAATCATCATTAATCATTGACCAATTCGGATTCGGGTCTCTACTAGAGACTCTATTGCTGCGTCCTTGCTGCTACGGCTCCCCTTTAAATTTGATAAGACCTAAACTAAACGCAATAATTGTATATTTTACAATCATTTTGCTAAAATACATTTTAAAAAAATAGATTAAAATTAAAAATTATGGCTAGTGAAAAATGTCACTAACTTATTGTGCAGCCTTAGAAATATAGGACATTAAGGAAGTTTACATTTTAATTTATTTTAGCTTCTATAATTTTACCTGGTTTTACCTTTGAGCTTTGGCTGTTGCTCACCAAATGCCATTGCCTTAAACTTAAAAAAATATAACGCCATTTTGTGATTTTGTGCGGTGGTCGTGCGTTGTTTGCTATAGATTTGTCATAAAAACGATTTGATTATTTTGTTGATTTCACCAGTAATTACACAATGTACGATACTGAAGATGATCAGTTTGAGGAGGAAGACAATGAGGAAATTTCGTCGGAATTGTGGCAAGAGGCTTGTTGGATTGTAATAAACGCTTATTTTGACGAAAAGGGCTTAGTGCGACAACAACTTGACAGTTTCGATGAATTTATACAGATGTCTGTGCAGCGCATCGTAGAAGACTCTCCCCCTATTGAATTACAAGCAGAAGCTCAACATTCTTCCGGAGAAATTGAAACTCCCCCGAAATATTTGTTAAAATTTGACCAGATTTATCTTTCTAAGCCAACACACTGGGAAAAAGATGGCGCACCATCACCCATGATGCCAAACGAAGCTCGGCTTCGGAACTTAACGTATTCTGCTCCTTTATATGTAGATATAACCAAGACCATTGTAAAGGAAAATGAAGATCCTATAGAGACTCAACATCAAAAAACATTTATCGGAAAAATTCCGATAATGCTCAGATCTACTTATTGTCTTTTAAGTAATTTAACAGACAGAGATTTAACAGAGTTAAATGAGTGCCCATTAGATCCTGGAGGTTATTTTATTATCAATGGATCTGAAAAAGTGTTGATTGCCCAAGAAAAGATGGCTACAAATACAGTATATGTATTCAGTATGAAAGATGGTAAATATGCGTACAAAACTGAAATTCGTTCATGTTTAGAACATAGCTCTAGGCCTACATCTACTTTGTGGGTTAATATGATGGCTCGGGGTGGTCAGAGCATAAAAAAATCAGCCATTGGTCAAAGAATTATTGCCATTGTACCATACATTAAACAAGAAATCCCTATTATGATTGTTTTTAGAGCATTGGGTTTTGTTGCTGATAGAGATATCTTGGAACATATTATTTATGACTTTGATGATCCTGAAATGATGGAAATGGTTAAGCCTTCCTTAGATGAAGCTTTTGTTATTCAAGAACAGAATGTTGCACTAAATTTCATTGGTGCTAGAGGAGCACGTCCAGGGGTAACTAAAGAAAGACGTATTAAGTATGCTCGGGAAATTTTGCAGAAAGAAATGTTACCTCATGTTGGGGTCTCTGACTTTTGTGAAACTAAAAAGGCCTATTTTCTTGGATATATGGTACACAGATTATTGCTAGCTGCTTTGGGTCGTCGAGAATTAGATGACAGAGATCACTATGGAAATAAGAGATTAGATCTAGCTGGGCCATTATTAGCATTTTTATTCAGAGGATTATTCAAAAATCTCTTAAAAGAAGTGAGAATGTATGCACAAAAATTCATTGACAGAGGGAAAGATTTTAATCTTGAATTAGCCATTAAAACAAAGATAATCACTGATGGTTTGCGTTACTCCCTGGCTACTGGAAACTGGGGAGATCAAAAAAAGGCTCATCAGGCAAGAGCAGGAGTATCCCAAGTACTAAATAGATTGACTTTTGCCTCCACTCTTTCACATTTAAGAAGAGTAAATTCACCAATTGGAAGAGATGGAAAACTTGCTAAGCCACGTCAGTTACATAACACACTGTGGGGTATGATTTGTCCTGCAGAAACACCAGAGGGTGCTGCTGTGGGTCTTGTGAAAAATCTAGCACTAATGGCTTACATATCTGTTGGAAGTCAACCATCTCCAATTTTGGAGTTCTTAGAGGAGTGGTCAATGGAAAACTTAGAAGAAATTGCTCCTTCTGCTATTGCAGATGCAACAAAAATATTTGTAAATGGTTGCTGGGTTGGCATTCACAGAGATCCAGAACAATTAATGGCTACATTAAGGAAATTAAGACGTCAAATGGATATCATTGTATCTGAAGTTAGTATGATCCGTGACATCAGAGATCGTGAAATAAGAATTTATACCGATGCTGGAAGAATATGTCGGCCTTTGTTAATTGTTGAGAATGGTGCTTTATTGCTGAAGAAAAAACACATTGATCACTTAAAAGAAAGGGACTATAATAACTATGGTTGGCAGAACTTAGTTGCCAGTGGTGTTGTTGAATATATTGATACATTGGAAGAAGAAACTGTAATGATTGCTATGAGTCCTGACGATTTAGCACAGGTGAAAGAATATGCTTATTGTACAACATATACTCATTGTGAAATTCATCCAGCAATGATATTGGGTGTTTGTGCTTCTATAATTCCATTCCCTGATCACAACCAAAGTCCAAGAAACACATATCAAAGTGCTATGGGAAAACAAGCTATGGGTGTCTACATAACTAACTTCCATGTGAGGATGGATACCTTGGCCCATGTTTTGTACTATCCCCATAAACCTCTTGTTACTACTCGCTCCATGGAGTACTTGCGTTTTAGAGAACTACCAGCAGGAATTAATTCAATTGTTGCTATCTTATGTTACACTGGGTATAATCAGGAAGACAGTGTTATTTTAAATGCATCAGCTGTGGAAAGAGGGTTTTTCAGGTCTGTATTTTACAGATCATATAAAGATTCAGAGTCAAAAAGGATTGGTGATCAAGAAGAGCAATTTGAAAAACCTACTAGGCAAACATGTCAAGGCATGAGAAACGCTTTGTATGATAAATTAGATGACGATGGCATCATAGCTCCAGGTATCCGTGTGTCTGGAGATGATGTTGTAATTGGTAAAACAATAACTCTACCAGAGAATGATGATGAATTAGAAGGTACAACAAAGCGATACACCAAACGAGATGCATCAACGTTTTTGCGTAATAGTGAAACGGGTATTGTTGACCAAGTAATGTTAACACTAAATAGTGAAGGATATAAATTTTGTAAAATTCGCGTCAGATCAGTTCGTATCCCACAAATCGGCGATAAGTTTGCGTCACGCCATGGTCAAAAAGGAACTTGTGGTATTCAGTACAGGCAAGAAGACATGCCTTTCACTTGTGAAGGTATCACACCAGATATTATCATTAACCCCCATGCCATTCCATCCCGTATGACGATTGGTCACTTGATTGAATGCATTCAAGGAAAAGTTTCATCAAACAAAGGAGAAATAGGTGATGCGACACCTTTTAATGATGCTGTAAATGTGCAAAAGATATCATCCTTGCTACAAGAATATGGATATCACTTACGTGGCAATGAAGTAATGTATAATGGACATACTGGGCGTAAAATTAACGCTCAAGTTTTCTTGGGTCCAACATATTACCAGCGTCTGAAACATATGGTAGATGACAAAATACATTCTAGAGCCCGAGGACCTGTGCAAATTTTGGTGAGACAACCCATGGAAGGAAGAGCTCGTGATGGAGGTTTACGTTTTGGAGAGATGGAACGAGATTGTCAAATTGCACATGGTGCTGCTCAATTTCTTAGAGAACGCCTATTTGAAGTGTCAGATCCTTACCGCATACATGTCTGCAACTTTTGTGGTTTAATAGCCATTGCAAATTTAAGAAATAATACATTTGAATGTAAGGGCTGTAAAAATAAGACCCAAATCTCACAAGTGAGATTGCCATATGCAGCTAAGCTACTCTTCCAGGAACTTATGTCTATGAATATAGCCCCAAGGCTAATGGTTGTAAACTAGTTTTGACAATAACATTATGTTTGATACACACAAGAAGATATAATAAAATTACTTATTATATTTATCAATGTTTTATTATCACAAACTGACAACATTAAATGCAGCTTAATACAACAATTACAATATAAAATTGTACAATAAACTTCACACTTAATCAATTTATGGTATATCTGTATAAATTGCATTTATTACCTGCTTAATTATGAAGTAGACTTAAAAAGCAGTTACCCACCCATTCAGCCATAATAAATAAAGACACATAGATTTTAACAGATATAAACTATATTAAAAATTTAATACAATTGTGAATAAAATTGCACAGAATGAGAGAGATAAAATTTTGATTTGATCATAACATTCAGCATGAAAACATACCATAATCTTACTATAGAAAAATCCCGTTTCATCATTAATTCTTATAAACATTGGTGCTCCTAAACGCAAACACTCAATCTAAATAGATGCCTAAAGTCAACATGACTGATAAAAGATTAATTTGCAGTGTTCACACCATTTAATAAATATATGTCTAAGCACTATTATATAAAATCTGTGAATATACAATTTAAATAGGTACCGTTTCTGTTTATTAAGTTTACTAGAGCACATAGTCTAAGAAATATTCTTGTAATTTTAATTTAAAATTACACAAAGAGAGCTTATGAACGGTTGTTACACTATTACTACAAAGGCATAAAATATAAATATGTACCTGTTTGCATGCACCACAATCATAAATGCTATAAAACAGTAAAAAATTTAATGGAAGTTTTTTATTACTTTGTCATTAGTGTATATATTTTTACCATAATAATTTATAGAAGAGGCTGGAACTTTAAAGCACCACTATTACTCTTATTTTACCTAATTATTCTTTACTGTACAACTTACGTATCTATCCGAACCGTAGCCTTAAAAAGTGCAATGCAAGCGTCTCTAATAAATGCCATGTAATGTCTATTACTAAACTCGAAAATCGGATGCGCATTAACTGTAAAGACACGTCAAACTATTTTGTAAAATTTTCTTAGCCTGCGCAATTTTTACGAAATGCATCGAGAAACGCTTAAAGTTACTCATTGTGGTGGGGGCAATGCCCTTTGTTCTTCTGGCTCTTCTTTCGGCCTTGTCCATTTTATCATGGTTTCAGGCGAACGGTACAGGAACACCAGTTTAGCGAACAGGTCCTCTTCGAGCGCCAGTTCAAGCGCCTCGCGTACCTAAAGAAAGATATAATATGCTACATAATATCTTAGATTAAGGTGAATTGTCATATTAAAAAGTCATAAATGAAAAGTGTGAAATAGCGACACAGCCACCATCAAGCAGTGACTTCATCACCACTAACATAGTGAAGGTCAGCGGTTTCTCAAATAACTGCGTACTATGAAACCGATTGGAAAAAACTTTGAGTAATTAGATTCTTCTTTCTTCTGCCCTTATCCCATGTAGGCGGAGTCAGCACTACATATGAATCATTATTTTAGTGGGTTTCGCTTGCATTTTTAGGGCCGGCCGCTTGCTAACACATTGCCTGATCCGGACCTAACAGGGAATCGAACTCACGCACCCTGGCGTCGTAGCCTATCGCGTAGCAACTGCACCACCGCAGGACCAATTTGGGTAATCTGATTAAATTAAGTAACTCGCGAGAGGGATCTGTCTCTGTTCCCATTTATATCAGACGCATCATGATGGAACCGTTGGGATTGGGTTGATCAGAGAGTGCATAAAGCGGATACGTGGTCTTCGCTGTTGCACAAATGGGCAGGTCCGTCGAGGTACGTACCACGACCTCACAGAAGACGGCGTGAAGTGGAAGTGTTACACTTCTACCTTTCGTCTGGTGAGTGAGGAATTTATTATAAGGTGGCAACGTATCTGCAAGCCTACGGGTGTTGCAAATGTTAATGGGCGTCGGTTATCACTTAGTATAGGGTGAACCGCCAGCTCGCTTGCCACCTTCTCACATAAAAAAGAACACGCACGAGATAGATGTCGAGGCAGAGCTGCAGCACGCGGTCGACGTTGGGCAGGTCGTCGAACATGATCTTGGTGTAGATTCCGGAGAAGAAGCCGCGTAAAACTCGCGATGCCAGGAACACGAACGTTGTGTACAGCCCGATGATGCTGCGGGTTCAATTATTTTTTTATATTGCACCTTACAGTTATCCAGTGTCGTAAGTACTTTTCACGTACATAAATGTCACATTGACAAGTACATGACTGTCTTAGAAATAAAATATTATTTTTATTTCATGTACTTTCATGAAAATATATCCCCCTTACTGTAAGATAACATTATCCTGTGTACGTGTAAGTACGTTTTAAATACATAAATATCACGTGGACAAACACTCAGATCCGAAACAATTATCTGTGGGTCACAAGAACCTAAGACCTCCGGCGCGGAAGCCAATACCATGGTAATTACGCCACGGAATCAATTCATTTTAAATTATTAGGCAAAACGCGAATATAGATTATATTAGCTCTATTAGGGCTTTCATTGCGTTTTACCATATATTAATTTTAGGAACAAGCTGTACACTACAATATAATTAAAAACATTATACTTATTAAACAATGTAGTAACATTGATATATAAATAATAAAAATATAGATTATATCGATTTTAATATCTGTGTTGTGTTTTTGTTTTGAATCAAATACACTCACCCTCCAGCAGAAATGAAGTTCAGTGTCTCAGGGAACAGTTTATCATTGAATGTGTACATGACGAGCATGTCGCAGTTGTTCATAGGTATCGTAGCCATCGGATCCTGAAAGAAGAATAATTAAATATATATAAAGATATGTTTAAAAATTGTTTCATATTAATTACATACAATGCATAAGACTCATATACAAAAGTATAAAAGTAAAGCGACAGACTATATATAAATCATATGTTCCTTATAGTCAATGTAGATTTTTTTTTCTTTTTGTAAATTTTTTTTCTTTTTCTATTTTGTTGTTGTATTCTTTTCTGTAGTAGGTAAAGTAAAAGTAAAGTAACAGCCAATACATGTCCCACTGCTGGGCAAAGGCCTCCTCTATACAGAGGGTATCAGTCCACCACGCGGCCCCACTGCGGATTGGCGGACTTCACATATTTTCGATATATATATATTTTTTTTGTTTTTATTTCGAAAATATGCAGGTTTCCTCACGATGTTTTCCTTCACCGCGGAGCACGTGATAAGTCAGCACTTAAAGTTAAAAACTTCATTGGTGCCGGCACCGGGGATCGAACTCAGGTTGCTCGAGTATATTGAATTAAAGGCGAGCGCCCGGACACTGTAGTAGGTAGCTGTTTATGAATAGAGATATTTTTAATTTTAGCGACGTACCCTAGGTTCGCACGCCTCTCGCACCCGCCAATACATGGTGCCCGCTTCCCTCTCTAGGCGCAGCTCTACATTGCGGTAGAGGCGAGCATTCTCATCTGAAACATTTTTCAAATAGTTACTTGTTTTATGTCAAAAGGTGTGTATTTTTTCGAGCACATCTGCAATCTTAGTATGATTACAAATACGTTATCAACGTTTAAAAGAGTGGGCTCAGGTTATTTCAATCACCAGGAGTAACGCAAAACTCAAAAACACTTAACACTTAACTGTTGCATGGCAACAAGCAAAACTTGCTTGCTGCCATGCAACAGTCTTCATTATTGCGCGAATGGACATATCCACCCTGGGAAATATTACAACTTCAAATGTGAACGGTGTGAAGTGGAAGTGTTATACTTCTGCGTTTCGTCTTGTGAGTAAGGTATCCGGGGCCCACTTTATTAAAAGACAACGCATCAGCAACGCTACCGGGACTGCAGCTCTTCATGGGCAGCGGTTTTCATTTAACATCAGGTGGTCCGCCAGCTCGCTTGTCATGTTATTGTAAAAAATCACAATGGTCTTCTGTAATCTGTTTGGATATTCTATGAATTAATAAATGGCTATCAAATATATTTTTATTTGGATAAGATTTACAAAATATTGAAAGAACAATGCCCATTTTTGACCTGATTGTGTATAGAAGTGAAATAAATATTAAAATTTAGGTAATTTCATTTTATAGTAATTACACTAATCACAATGTTAAAAGACGGTCGGGAAAAAATATTTTTTTTGATATTTCTTTACGCTTATTTTACTTCAAGGGTAAACATATTACCATGTTTTGAACGCACCTTAACAATCCTTTGCATAGGACGTTCCATTTTTCACACTACCTACTTGACTGTATTCAACTTTTTCTGAGTTTTGTACGTGATTTTACGTTTTAGAGAAGTGAGTAAGCACGTAATTAACAGTATTTGTATAAAAACTAAAATCAATCTTATTAGTAGTACAGATTTATTAAAAATAAAATAATAAATTATTAATACAGCATGTAATAAAGTTCGCACGGCTGACATAGATGGTTTTTTTTGACATTTGACAGTTCTGCGAGTGACTCATACTAATCGCCACTCATCGGTATTCGCCAATAATTGTGAGTATTTATGTTTATTTTTAATCTAAAAATGTCAATCATGTCCTAATGAAACTAACAAAGCTCCTATAAATTATACCTGTGAGACATAACACATACAACTGTTCAAAAGATCTATATATCCAAAATATTATAAACTCAATATATGTTTTTTATTTCAGATTACTGAGGAAGATTACATTTGTAAATCTTGTAATGAACTCTTTGTGCGAAGAATAAACCAGGAATTAACAAGCTGTGATGTTGCTCAAGCTTCAGGATTATCTCAAACAGGTCGAAGAACACAGTTTTTGATAATCCTTCAGAAAAAGCAAAGACAGATTAATGCTATTATACAAACAAGTTCAC